AATTCTTCATGGCGTTATGCTATCAGAATGGACTTGCAGGCGTTGACTGGGAAAAATACTGCCTACTTTTACCTACAATTCGTAGGTTAAGGGGGGGGTGTAATATTGGAGGGAGCCTCGGTTAAAGGCCAAAATTAAAAACTGGAATAGGAGGTATTTCAAGCCAGTAAGCTTTTAATGCAATGCAAATGCATTTGATTACTTTTTGCTGTGGTACTTCATTTTTATCCTTAAACTTTCGGTTCCATCATCATTGCTCCCTAACCTCCCATTTTCTCTGGGGCACGAAGTCCCGGCTGATCTACTTTTTGTACCATTGTCCATCTTTGATGGAAAAGTGGCGCCTGTTATACGTGTTCTGAACACATTCAAGATTTGCAAACGCGACAGACGTATAAGGGAGAAATGTAGGCAACTATAAATTTAAAACAGGCATTCTTTCCTCCTTTCACAGAGTCGCTCGGATGGGAAGGCGTTACGAAAGATCATCACGGGTTTACGGCCGCATGAGGTCATTTTGGTAGGTGCTACGAGGTCTGCTATCGATGCAATGGTGGATCACTGTCGCTCTGACCTCCAACTCAAGGATGAGGTCATTCACACGCCATCAGGAATGGATGTTGTCAACTGTACTAAGGAGGGAGATATTTATCAGGTAAAGCGACTTCATTCCATCCCTTGTTACTGCTGTTGCCCTGCCAAGTGCACAGTGAAGATCCTCTACTCTCCTTCGTTCGAACCGTACTCTGTGTTGCCCTTAGTCGTCAACATTCTCTCATCACCAAGCTATCGGGATTGTTAGACCTGTCTATTGTTTGCAACTTTTACTGAATGCAACACAATATTCTTGTTCGATGTCTTGGCGCTTAGTACGAAAGTTGATTTTCTAAGACCTTCTTCCATGTAAATGTCACCCTTGCAATGCGAAGGATGTCATTTCCTTTCTTTATTGTTTGCTCGGAGCCAATGCAATGGCCACATTGAATACCTTCAAATCTTTCAGGTCAGGTATCTCTATGGTGCTGGCCATTGTGTAGGAGTCGAGCTTGGAGTGGTTTCTAATGGTCAGGCTTGCTAGTGACCAGAATGGCAGGTGAAAAGAAGGCCAGAAGACCCTGTCCAATCAAATCACAAATTTTTCTGGTGTATTTTTGAAGGACATCCGTACAGATTTGCGTCAAGTCACGTCTTAAGTGGGAAGTGATCTAGACTGCGCTATCAGTTTTCAAGAAAAAAGGAGTCTGATCCACATCTATTCCTCTCTTTACCATAGGCACGGATGAAAGACAGCTTGGTGACAGGTTTGCGCTTCACCAAGATCCGCGAGTATGAGTTGGCCTGGGTAGATGCTGACATCCTAGAGCCGGAGGAGAATATGAACCCAACTAATGCAATGGAGGTTGGGGCTGATGGTGAAGCCTCCTGGATCACCACTCTTGCCTCCGATGCCTTGCCCGTTCTAGCGCCACCCTCCGGCCCTGTCATCGATCATCCCACTGTCTTTGTAAATGAGCCGAAGCTATCTGATGTGAGTCTTTCGCCCTTGATTCTTTTAATTTTCGTAGCAGTGTGTAGGAGTATGGAGAAAATTGCCAACAAACGAAATTATTGAGCTTAAAGTTCTCTATCGCACGTCAGTTATGGTCGCAGGGCAATATATATGCTTATGAGGGAAATTTTGATATCACGCAGCCATGATTTTAATCTGCGGGGAAAAGTAAATTTTACAACTGAAATTTTTGGTGAAATATTCTTAAAAACCAGGAGTCAATGCTATCATCCACTCTAATTTCCTCTTTCTTTCCTCTCCCGTGAATAGATGAAGCAATTATTACTAAATCAGGGTCTTCAGGCAGAGTTCGTAAGCGGTGTTTTGGTGGTGGACAATTGTGTTTCTATCAAACGCACAGAGACTGGTAGAATGACCTTGGAGGGACTGATATCCCCCACCTACTTCATTGTTCGGGACATTCTCTATCGTCAATTCGCCATCCTCTGAGTCTGTAACCCCATTTCCTATCTATGTACAGAGGGCGAAGCCTTTTTTTGATAATAAGTAAAATTCTACGACTCGAAACGTCGTTTTCACTATTTTTTGTGTGTGTGCATGTGTTTTTTCACTTCCCATGTTTTTACTGCATTTCTGAGCATTATTTCTTTTATGCAACACTTGAAGTTCCTGCTGTTTCTGCGCCCCAACAAGTGGCAAGTTTTTTTGGATGAGCGTCATGGGTTGCAACTTGTATGAATATGCTTGCACTTTATTAATAACTGGTGTTTTTGTTGGTTGGTCGTGGGACCTCTTGGCCACGAAGGTGGATCGCTTGCTGTAGGGTTTTAGGATCAAGCCGTAGCGACTGGATTTAATAGGTCTTTAAAAGGACGATGGTTTACAGAAGGCTGCTAGCATAGACGAAAGCGTAATCTTGAATTCAGGTGCTTCGGCTATTTACGCGGAGTCGGTCATTATGGTCTATTTCGTAAAAATTAGGCTCACTTCGTGGTAATTCGACGTCTTTGAAGGTGCTGATGAGCTAAAAGTAAAGGAAGTTCATTGGCGTTTTCGCTGCTTTTTAGAACAAGATG